CCTTGTGATACCTGTTAACCTTTGCCTGGAGCGGTCCTAGGGGGGATGCAGTTTCCATGCATGCCCGAAAATGGGGTAGAGGGGCCGTGCCTCTTACCTTTGCTTGCAGCCGCCCGCTCCATCCCGTTAGATCCCCTCGTCTGTGCGGGCTGCTCCTCATCAATGAACCTGTGGAACCACCTTCTGCGCAGCTGCCGGAGCTCTGAGTTGCGGGACATGAGCCACCGCGGGCTGTGCCTCTGCTCCAGGGCTGCCTCCGCCAGCACGTCCGTGCCTGCCAGGAGCCTGGCGCTCGGGCGGCCGTTCTGCATCGTCCTCGTGTCCACGCCTGTGCCAACCCCTGCCATCACGTCCGAAGCGGGCACAGCCTGATTAGCAGAGGTGCCACGCGAACCTTGCTGGATAACCAAGCGGGACCGCTGCAGCAGCAGAAGGCTACCAGCCATCAGGTAAGCTGCTGTGAGGAAAAAGAGCAAAAACTGGGTCCGCCGAAGAAACTTCTGTAGCCTGAAGAAAGCTTTGGCCATGCCCTTGCTGAAGCTAGGCCTTCACGCCTTCCAGATGGACCCTGAATCACCACTCGAGTTGGTGCCAGTTCCTCCCGTAAGTTCAGCCCATCGCTTTAGTGCCTTCTCCCTGTTCTGTCCGGATGGCGGTGCCCGCCTGGCACATCACACGTGCCCGGGCCGCGGGTTCCCGGCTGGCCGGCGGGGTTCCGGCAGGCCCGGGGGGACCTCCATTGTCGCGGCCGGTGGAGCTTGGAACAGCTGCTGCTGCAACCTGAAGTACAAAGGTGGGAGGGGAGAAAAGGGCTGGCTCAGATCCAAACAGTAGATACTTGTTATCAGGGGGGCTTTCCCCGCTGGCTCTCTCATCTAAGCATTTGTCCATCTGTTGTTTATAATTATGCACTTTAAAGACAATAATCGTATTAGAATGATTGATTAAGCAGAAGCTAAAACCAGATCTTCAGTATTACTTGCTTCTTTAACCCAAAATGCCCAAGGAATACCTGTATGATGAGGTCATTTCTCTTGGGATGTTTGGAACATTAAGTTCTCTTTTCTTTTGTAAATAGCTGACATCTCTGTTCTTTGTTACTGACTGGAACAGGGGCTGCAGTACAGGCATCTTTTTAGGAAGGCGTTATCAGATACTTTCTTTTCAGCACAGCAGTAGCTAAGCTACAAATGCAGATCAGATGGAAATGGACATATGGGTGTATAGAAAACAAATGAAATTGAATCAGCTCGCTATGGATAAGAGAAATTATTAATCTATTTGCAACAGCAAGTAAGGCATTATTTTGAAAGGATATCTTGGGGCTCTGTACTTCAATACAGAGAGCTATGGGAGTTACTCTGTGTCTTCCTTTAACAGAAAGCAACAATCTTACTAGTTTTCTTAGTAGACCTCTATTGACAAATGTCAGCATGCAGATGCTTTCACACAAAAGCTGGTGAATGTTTGAAAAAAAATCTTTTCAAGTTGCAGCAAATGTCTCTTGGTGCCTCCGCAGCTCTGCCAGGCAGTCAGTTATGCTGGTGTGTGCCCCAACAGGACCGTCCCCGCAAGAAGAGCCTCTTTGTGCTCTGGGACCTTCTAACCTCCTGCAACAAAAGCTGTCCTCTCCCAGGCTCCTAGCTGCTCAGTCAGTCGCTGCTCTGTGGAACCAGGCAAGTGTGGAGAAAAGATCTAGTGTTTTCCAGAAAAGAAAATATTATGGCTTTTGCTTCACTTGCATTTGGGACACACTCATGAAATCCACAGTCCTGGCAAAGAAACATATGCTCACTATATTCCTTGTTTCAGTATAAGGTTGCTTTTTTGTGGATATTCATATATGCCTTTTTCTATAACACATCTTGCCAAGTAAGTCTTCACTCGTTCCCTTTTGCTTTTACTCCTGTAATTTCTTTCCGTCTTCAGCAGCAATCAAAAACAAAGCTCTAAAACTTCTAAGCCAAAAGTATATTAAAGCTCAGCGGAGTCTTTGGTCAGCTGAGATCTACAGCTCTTGTGCGACCACCTTTCCATCTGGATCACTGGGTTGGGCTGGCACCAGGCAGGAATCGGTGCTGACTCCTCTTGCAAGTCAGTCTTTAAGACCCAACTTACTGTGGTGGATTTCATCGTTGTTCAAGTTCATGAATTGCATAGGGTTGAGCAGCACACAGAAAATGTTTGTGTTTATTTCTGTCCCTAATCTTTCTCCAAGTACTTGGTTTAATAAGACCTTATGGGCATTTTGCTGATGCCTGTGGATGTTTTTATCCTGTCCTCATTTCAGCTGACTTTAGGACAGGTGTGATGGGCTAAGATGCAGTATCATGCGTTAGTAAATTGCTTAAGACCACTTTCTCCATTATATATATATATATATATGTATAAAACTACTCCGTTCTGATCACCTCTGAATCCAAAGAAAAAAGACTGATGTACACCAGCTAAAGAGCCAGCCGTTAGATTTAAATTATTGAAAATCTCTGATTAATGTTCTGAGAGCATAGGAGTTACAGGAAAAGGGTCGGGAGTACCTAGACAAATGAACAGAAAATTATCTATAATTAGATACTGTGGAATGTGACTGTGCTAATTTAGCTGAAGAAACAGCTAAAGGTACCGTTTGATTCACTGGTTGTTCGTGACATCGGCGCACAGGAAACTTGTGAGCAATTCCCAAAAGAGAAGGGTGTCAAAAGGAACACTTTGCTGTTGCTACTGGCTGGAAAAGTTTAAATGGTACAAACCAGCGTTACTGCAGCCAGTGTGGCTTATATAAATTACCTCCAGATGCATTCGCCCTCAGTACAGTTGCCATGACAGTGCATTGTAGTAAACCAAATAACTAAGCAGACCCTGCCCACAGCAACTGCTGCAAAAGCACAACTTGAAAATTAAATGTTGCTTTTTAGTGGGGAAACAGCAGAGTGCTTCCGACATTAAAAAAAAAAAAGCCATTTGATTTTTCAATAAACTGTGTACTGCAATATCATCAGAGTATACCTGAAAGAACTGAGGTACATCACTTTGGATATTAAAAAGGAAGGGAAAGGAGGGTGTGAAGAGGTATCTGCTAATAGAAAATATATCATTTGTCTTTGTTATATATGTTTCAGTTAAAATGAATGAAGTAAAATAGAAGAAAAAATGGAAAAATAAAGTTTTATCTTAGTTGAAGAGAGTCTTCTGTCCCTATTTATCAGTTTTCACAGCCATAGTTTTTTTAGGACCAGATTGACAGTTGAGCTAAAAATTAGTAAAATCATTAGACGATAATAGAAAGGACTCTGCAATAGGCGATGAGAACTGTTAAGCAGCAGCAAAGACCTCTAGGTGGAGAGAACAAGGGAAGGGCTGAGCTGCAAAAAAAGAGAGGAAAATAATGAGCAGCGGCAGAGATCAGTGGCTCAGATTTGGGTATCATAAATGGTGCTACAGGAGGAGCGCTGGGTGCCGGGTCTGCGACGGGAGGGATGCCTCGTGCCAGTAAAAGGACAATGTCCTTCTGCAAAACGCATAATTATGCCACGAAGCTCGCTTCCACAGGTTGCTGCAGGCAGGAATATGGAGCGCTTCAGAGAAGCCTTGATTGGTCCTGTTTTATAAAAAGCATGAACTTATTCACTGCATTAGTGACGGGTGACTATTCAGAAGTCAGATAACAGTTCAGTTTGAACAGCGCTTTTTGTTGTTTCCATGTGAAATTTTTGCTTGGAAATGACATTAGAGGGAAAAAAAAAAAAGCCTCTTACATTTTTTCTAATGTCCCTAATATTCCTATTTCTGGTACAGCTAGAAATACCCTGTGAATAAACCTTCCAATATTGTGTAAGCCAGCAGGGCTGAGCTCAGCGGTGAGAACCCCATCTTACCCGGAATTCCGCGGTATCGAGACATGAATC